ATGTGTAGGAGTGGGGAATCTAACTCAGTTCTCTAGATTAGAGTCCTCCACTCTTAACCACTACACCAAACTGGCTCTTCAGTGGGAGGATAAGTCTATCAATGGCTACTAGCCATGGTGACTGAGAGGAACCTCCAGATTCAGAGGCACTAAACCTCTGAATCCCAGAGCCAGGAGACAACATCCGGGGAAGGCCTCTATGCCCTGTTGTGGCCCCTCCAGAGCAACTGGTTAGCTACCGGTGTGACACAGGATGTTGTACTATATGGACCATTGGTCTGATCTATCAGGGCTGTTCTTACATTCTCTCCTGGAGTTATAATTGATATCCAGGCAACAGAGATCAGTTCACCTGGGGAAAATGGCCACTTTGGGAGATGGGATCTGTCCCATTATACCCCATTTAAGACCCTCACCTCCCAAAACCCCCCCTCCTCAGGCTCCACCCCTAAAATCTCCAGGTATTTCCCAACCTGGAGCTGGCAATCTACCTGTCAGCTTCTCAGTTAGGTGGTATGGGTCTTCTTTAAATTCTGTTTTGATTTTGTTCTGTAATCCCTCTGGGTTGGAGTAGGAGCTCCAGGCGTCCTACCGAGCGCAGGGCTATGCAGGAACTGGAGAGGTCAGCCTAGGCCACTCCAATAGGAGCCACACAACAAAATAATTTTGCATAGCCTATCCGAGCAAGCAAAGACATGACCTAACCAGTTCCTGGATGACTTCCCCCCACTGAAGGAGAAAAGCAGGCACTAAGAGTTGTATCTTCCAGAAATATACCCATATAACTCTGTAATACTATATGGCAAGGAAAACCTGTTGCCTGATGACGTCAGGAAGGCTTCCACTCTCCCCATTTTCTACAAACTATTACACAGATAATAAGGCTGTACTGTGACAAAATGGACCAGTAAAGGGTTAGGGACTGTGACTACTGTGTATAGTTCCTACTATCTTATGCTGAGTAGGATCCTATTGTGTGGTTTTTGCATCATTTAGCATGTCACATTAATACTTATGCTTTGCTATCCTGTTGCATAATTTATTGGTTGACTGTACTGACTTACTCTGTGTAATCCACCTTGAATCCCAGTGAGAAAGGCAGACTGTAAATAAAATAAAAATAAATATTCGTTATGTGGCATGTTTTCAGAAAAGTGTTTGGCCTTTCTGCTGTTGTAGGCCCATCAGGGAGAACAGTCCACACATCAGTCCAGCAAACTCCACCCCCATCAGACAAGCTGGCTACTTCCAGGTGGATTAGCTGCTGCCCTTCATCTGGAGTCTGGTTGTGATTGTCACAGGTATCTCTTTTTGGGAGGTTAGTCAGGCCAAGATCTAGGAAGCTATCCAGTTACTTCCATTGTCAGCCTTTAGTCCACCAGAAAAGGGGGAGAATCAATTTATATGCTCATTCTCTTACAGAATAAAAAGATGATTCCAATGCATTGTGTCCTTTCTGTATTTTTTTAATTAGAAAAGCATATATACCTACAAAAATAAGTGCCAGGTTTTAAGAAACAAGCATGGATAAAAAATTATAGCAAACTCTTCGGGATCATGTCAAGCTGTCTTCCTAGTTGATTGTACCACCTCTTTTAAGATAAAAGTTTATGAAAACTTTCCACAAAGCTTCACAGAACAACATGCTAGGATGTTGTGACTCTATTGGCATCAACAATTTCAGTAAGCAAGGTTAGCTTCTTCAGCTAGGGACAGTGTGACCTCTGAAAACGCTGGTCTGTATTTTCAGAAATGCTGAGCAAGGCTGTCACCTACAATGGGGACTTTTAAAACCTCAGAAACCAGAGTAGTCAGGACATCTTGGATATTCTTAGGTGTCATTCTGTGACCCTATTATGATATGATGCTAATAGACTGTGGGCAGGTATGGGTCTCCATGTCTTTTGTTTAGTAGGTTATTCATGGGGGAAATGTTTCATCCTTGCTTTCACTCATTGAACACAGTAAGCCTGTCATCTCATGAAGGCAGATAATTATTTTACATGATAGAAAAAGCTGCTGGATGACGATTTGGATTCACTGGACACCCAGCTTCAGCTTTCTAGATTTCAAAGCGCCTCCTCCTATAGGCTCTCCTCTCCTTTGCCATCTCTGCCGAGATTGTCATGACATATTGACCTAGATCAGATTCACCCTGTACAAAACACAGGTCATCTGTTTTAATATTGAGATTTAGCTCTTTTTTGGCTCACATTTTTATAATTTTAAGGTGTCACAATTTTAAATAGGCAAAAATGGCAGGAGTAATAACTCAACTTTATAGCCAACAGAAGCAGCCAAAGCGGTTTACAATTAGAATCCATCACTCCAGCACATGTTGGAATGGCTAGAGGAAAACAGCAACATACAACAGAGCGTATGGGATATGTAATCCAAAAGGCTTAGTCAATGTGAACAAACCATCTGTGTGCCACTGAAAAAATAAAGATGTGTCCCAAAGTCTAGCACATTATCCTGTAATTGTCATCAGTACCTACTGAACTGGTCATATAGTTACAGCATCAGGCTGCCCTGAACAGATTCAAAGCTTTGGAGTGTGTTCTCTACTCCTAGATGGAAGTGCAATGTTTACAAACTTTCTAGAATCCTTGGAAGATTAATCAAAAGGGTTATTTTATTGGATGATCATTAGCAGATGGCCCAGAAAATAGTTTTGGCTCATTTTTAGACAAAAATAATCCAGTTTTGCTTGAGCTAGGGCAAATTATCAGAGCAGTTGACAGCAGACAGGACAACACTGATACCATTTTATCATTTTAATAGACACTGCCTTTATCAGAACAACCCAGTAATAGGCAATATTTACAGGATTATATAGTACTTGAAAAGCAAAATGATTCTAAAGTGCAAAGTCGCCTTTACAGTAATATACTGAAATTCAACTGCTTGTTTTGTGGACATCAGAAACTGTCACAGAAACACACAAGCAGGTATTTTCATTGACTACATAAATGAATCATATCTTTGGATGCACACGAAAACCACATGCTGAAGCCAGTCAGAGGGGCGTTCTTTTGGGCTGGTACATGCTAAATAGAGCCTTGGTATATATAACTAGTACTTCAGGAATGTTTACTGAAAAATAAACCACAGATTTGTGAGAGGCAGATATAGGGAACTGCATGCTTGTCACAGACAACTGCTGACAAATTATACTGAGATAAAGTAAAAGAAATAGTAAGAAAAACCTTCAAATATGCCCAAATGTCTATCACCTACATACCATAAATAGACAGTGTGCTGTGTGTGTGGTCAGCAAGCTTCATCACCACAATCAAAGGCAGCGGCATATAGACAGCATTTCTTGAACAAATTACCATAAAAGGTTTGCAAAAGATTTAAATCTTCTGTGCACTCAACTGCATTCCCAGACCATCTGTGGTATCAGAGCCACAAAGTCCCCCAAAGGTACCTATAAGAGGCAATACATCCTATCCAGGCCCACTGTGACACCAAAGCCTATGTGGTGAAAATGTGCTAGTAACTGTATGGTGTACACTACACTGTCAGTATAAATGGTTCACAAAGCCATACGTTAATTCTTATTACATTTTAAATTATGAAAGCATGAGGAAGAGCAGCTCACTATTCAAGATACGAACAGGTGTATCTATTTTAATACAGCAGCATTTATCCTTGTGCTGAATGACTGACGTCCCAAGCAAGCATGCCGCAAGTATACTGAAGATGTACACTGGAGGACAAGTACTTAACTTCAGAAAGGCAACCTGATAGTGAGCAGCATGATAAAATCTCTCGAGGTTGTGGGGAGGAGAATCATAATTACAAAAGAGAACACATACATACAAACATCTCTCGGGCTAAAAAAGGAGAGATCATGCTCTGTTCTGAGAGAACGAAATCCCACATCACTCAAGATTCAAATTACTGGTACAGACTTGAGAAACCGAAGCATTTAAACCCAATTTTACTTCGTTTTCACTTATTCTACATTGCCACTTGCTCAGTGGCCACCCAAGTCTTATTAAAGGTATCAGAAAGATGTGCTTACTCCCACGGGGAAGATTTAATACAGAAACAAGTCTCACCCTGTAGTTCTGGGCCGGCAAGGCTGTAAAGTGACATCCTCCCCAACATTCTACTATTGCACAAGGCAGGAACTATTTCAGGGCACTTGTATTCATCACTCATGTGCTTGGATTCATCATGTGCTTGAAAAGTACTCAAGATGCAGGAAACACAAAAGTGCAAGTTCTCTGTGCTAGACTATCCTTTTTTAGAAAACAAATTGTAAGTCTACCCTGCTCTCGTATGAGGCTCCCAGTGGTCTCCCGTCCAAGCTACTGATCAGATCTGTACAACTTGGTACTCCTAGGCCATTTATGAGGCCTGTATTAGGAAATAGCAACCAACAAGTAAAGAAAGCCTCTCTCTTTTTTTTACTGCCAATGTTACTTCTGGAATCCTGAAAAGAGGATTAAACCTGAAGGATGCTGCTAATGAGCTATACACAGTGAAAGCACACATACAGAAAACCCACATTTTGCCCAACTGGATTTTCACCTAGGGGCAATTTTGAGCAGGGAGCAAAAATCCGGAAAAATTATGCTAGATAATTTAAAGGTGAAGCCAGGGAGCCACAGATATTAAACCCATAATATCCCATCTATTCCTCCAATGACTTTAAAGTCCTTACCAGTTTGGAATGTGTCACCAGAAGCAAGCCCTGTGCTCTGAACACAAAGAAGTCTACTAAGAAGAAGGAGATGGGAAGAGGCTGGAAGCCCCACAACAGCAAGGCAAAAAACCCAAGATGCTAGTTGGGGCAGCTACAGAAGAACTGGCAAGATCTAAAGGACACACAGTACATCCTAGAGTAGCACACCATGACCTGGATGGCCCAGGGCGAGCCCAGTTTCATCAGATCTCAGAAGCTAAGCAGGATCGGCCCTGGCTGGTGCTCGGATGGAGACCACCAAGGAAGTCCAGGGTTGCTATGCAGAGGCAGACAATGGAAAATAGGCTTTGGACATAGCTTGCCTTGAAAACCCCATGAGGGGGTTGCCGTAAATCGGCTGCAACCTCACGGCACTTTCCACCACTACCACCGGCACGGCACGGAACACAACCCTGACCATGTACAGTGCTTGGCACAGTAGCTGACAGCAGGCTCACAGCAAAGAGCGAGGGGACTGAACGGAACAGGAAGCCGTTCCGGACAAGCCTCTCCAGTATTGACCGGGGAGGGATGCTGGGTGACTGAAGTAACTTGCAAGACATCCAATGAATGTGGAAAACACAGTGCAGTGAGGGCAAAAAAGGAAAAAATAAGAGCACTGAAATGAGGTAAAAATACATTAAGGTCACTATCCTATGTTCCGTTACTTGCAAGTCGCGTTGGAATAAAAGGGACTGAGTTCTGAAAACATGTAGATGGAGAAGAACTGGCTGGTTGGGCTGCAGGATTCGTTTTCTCTGCTAAATCTGCGGATGGGTTATTTAAATGATCACTGCATTGTACTGGCTGGTTAAAGGCATACTAGGCAAAATAGCTCCTTTGTTACTACTCTATCTACAAGTAGTACAAATTCTTTAGTAACGTATATTCCAAAGTTTCTTAAACCACTGAAATACTCTGTGATCAACTCTGCCAGTATCCAGCCGAGCACTGCGCAGATCACTACATGAAAATTTTTCATAAAGGTTTTCTATGCACTGAAGCAGCTCCACATTATTTCTTTACTGGATTCTGGTTTGAGAGAAAGAGACGACATCCCAAAACATCTGGATAATTTTAATTCTGGTGAAGAGTTGGACTTGCATGGCAGATACAGCAAATTTTAAGAACATGACATTGTAATAAATGCCCTTTAGGCTCCTGACCTCCAGCCAACTTTGAAACCATGGCTGCTCACATACTCACTAAATGCAGGCCCAAAAAACAGGCCAGAAGTAGAGAGTAAGTCATCGCACACACATACAAATCCAGACTAGAGCGTTAACTAACCCACTCATGCACTAAATTTCATTGTCACTACAGGATATTCTGTTCCAAAACAGTTGTATACGTTTCACTTCAGCGCTTCTAGTGATCAGGGTTCAGTGGGTTGTGCCCTCCCCCTCCACTCTGCTCAGCTATGGGCAGCAAGTCTGTGAGCACAAGGGTGTATCCTGCCAACACAAGAGGCTCCTCTTGCCAGCCTTATGCCGACGTTGTGTCCTGTCACTCCACTCAGCTAAGGGTGGTCGTGTTCCACAACCCAACACGTTTTCACACACCATCAGTGCGCCCAATGTTTGCTTTTTCGAGAGTCGCACCATCCTTCATGCCCCCTTTAAGAAGAATGCTCTGCTCCTGCTTTTCCACATAACCATCTGTTACAGCCTTGCTATTTTCAAAGTCCCATTAGTCCACAACTTTCTGTGTTACTTTTCCTGGATTTACACAACTCTTTTACATTACTTTTAGTCTCTATTACTTATAGTATCTACTGCCATGTCACAAACACATTATACCAACAATAATCTCACAGGAGGTTTATGTCCTGCAGCTGAAATTAGGTACTTTCCCTTCATCCTCTCCATAAATCATACCAACTTCTCTACATTGCTCTTTCGTGTAATCTGCCCTCCTTTGACTCTTCTTTATATTAACTACATGTACAATAGCACCTGTAAATCCTCTTAACAGGGCATTTTTTAGTCTCGGAAGGAACATTTCTTAGATACTGCTTATCCAAGATGGTATAGACTTAAATAATGGTCCTTCTAGACAAGTTTTACTTCTGCTAAGCTCTTATGATAAACAGGATGAATGACTCTCAACAGATGCTTCTACAATCGTGTTCTCTTTCTTTCAAACATTCCTAGAATAGGGGCTTGCAATCCAATGAGAACCACACTTCCCCCTCCACTTCCTGCTGTAGCCCACAGGGATCCTAGGAAGAAGCCTGGGCACAATATGTGTGTGTGTGGAAGGGGGGGGGATTGGGTGGAAATTGTCTCCACCCCCTCTGCTGGCAGAAACATCCTTCCAATGGGCGAAAACAGTTGTTGGATACGAGTCAAAATGCTTCTGTCAAAGGTCCTCAAGATCAAAAGCTAGTTGAAAGCCCCTGTACTCTCATGTGCTATGATTTCTTTACGTTGTTCATTAGCTTGATAGCTTAAGTCTCCATGCTCTTGAAGTACATCCCTGGTATTCTTGCATGATGTATCTGAGTCAGTTTTTTTATGCAGCATCTTCCAAGGCTTCCTCAGACTTTCCTCGTTTAGACTTCTAACTCACCCTCAAAGAACTGAAGCAGATATTTTCCACCCAGTTTTAATCTCATCCTTTCCAACATCCTTATGAAAGGAAACCACATACACTCAATCCAGAATGACAGTTACGAAACATGAAAAGCAGTGAATTCTTTTTGAGGATGAAGGAGTCCAGAAGAATCAGCAAAGGGGGTGAACAGTGAAACGCCAGAGTTTGCAAAACGCAGCGCACAAGGGGTATTCAATGCACTTGGGGAGTTTAAGAAATCTGGCATCCAGTGTCTTTTTGAGGTTTTATATCTGGCTCTTTCACAGGTTTTACTTCCTCCTCTGGCTTCGGTTTAGCCTGTAAATAACAAGAGAAATCAGGAAATGCATATAAAGATACTATGTCACTGGATTATCAGAAAGGGTTTAAAACACAGCTTTCAAAATCAAGAAAATTGTTAGCCAAGTCACATTTTTCTTTGCAAGAAATGGTGCAGAAGAGACTAAATGTTGAGACTATTATTTGCTATAAAGATGCGACTGCATGCGTCACAACATGTCTAACAGTCTTAACTAAGCCATGTTTTCAAAACTTGGCATTAGGGAAACCTTCAGACTTCTTTGGGCAGAAGACAAAGATACCCAATATACAAATCTTCCAAAGTCTTTAACAGATTATTTGGTTCTCTTTCTAGCACCACCGTTATTCTTCTACTGAGCAGGGAAGAGAGATGATGTAGAAACAGAACATCACAAGACAAAACAATAAGGGTTACTGGTCTTACACTATCCTCCTTTGGCCTCTTGGTGAGATCAAATGCAGCAAGGGATTCTAGTGTCCAGTGTGCATGCACAGCAGGGAACTCAAAAGGAACAGGCTCGACAAGACCATAGTTTGCCTTTAGCTCCAACTGAGGAGCCTCTGTAGGGATTTTCTGGAAATAACTAAAAGGGAAAAAAAATTGGCAAGTTAGCAGTTTCTCAGCTGTTCCTGGGAATGACAGACAACTTGCATAATTTAACTACATACACCTCTCAATTTTCATATTACTTGCATAAATATAGCTGGGCCTATATGTCAATGCATACAGTTGTACAGAAGATTCATAAGGCAAAAGCAGCATCGGCTAAAGGTTCCAAGTCTACATAGCGAAGAAGAAAAGTTTGGTTTAAAAGACTGAGCTTTTTTGTGAGCCACAGCACACACTGTCCCCTCTATTTTAATTTTTAATTACCACTGACTGCATTACCCAGACGGTACGCTCTCTTGATACCTTGTTACCACCTGAGACAGAAAATAAAGTTTATGCACATTTCATGCACAACCCATTAGGAAAGGGTAATATGGATTTCTCTGTCCAGCTTCATAAGCAAGCCAATGAAGGAAGTGGTCAGGATCAGCTATCTGGTGCTGACACCGGATCAGGCACGATAAGCAATGCATCCCCTGGTGAGTAATGCAACCCCTGACTCTTCTGTTTTTCTAAAGAAATCAGTGCACTATGGCACAAAGTCAAGACTGTGTAAGCGAGTCTTTTACAAGGTAGGGAGAAAACTCCCCAGTGCAGAATATCAACATCCGTACAAAAATCGAGCAGATGGTGATTAGAATGGACCCAGGGGGAAGGCTGACAGGTTATATCACATCCGCAGTCTCTCGCACAGCTTCTCTCTTGAGAAGCATTTAGGATCCTTGAGCTGCTTGTTCCATCACTGATGTTGTCCTGTTCAAGCAACAGAGCCCTGGCATTCCCTCAGCACATGGAATTCACTGCCACAGGAAGTGGTGGGTGCTACAAGCATGGACGGCTTCAAAAGGGAATTAGATAAGCATATGGAGCAGAGGTCCATCAGTGGCTATTAGCCACAAGGTATAGATAAGGGCTCTGGGGCAAGTGATGCTCTGTCTTCTTGGTGCTTGGGGGGAGGTCAACAGTGGGAGGGCTTCTAATGTCCTGGCCCCACTGGTGGACCTCCTGATGGCACTGGTATTTCTGGCCACTGTGTGACACAGAGTGTTGGACTGGATGGGCCTTTGGCCTGATCCAACATTGGCGTCTCTTATGTTCTTATGTTATGTTCTCCTTACTAAACAAAGGAGCCGGGAAAGAATACAGTCTGCTCCTAGCTTGTGCCAATATCGCTATACTCTGATATATAAAATCACTGTCCGCAAAATGGAATCGCCACACATGCGTTCACTTCTGCCATTGGTAAGTAATCCCCACTGAATTCAGCAAGACAGCATATTTTATTAAGCATGCTTAGGATCTGGCTAAATAATAATTTAGTGAGATGTGTATAAATACACTCACATGAATCCATTTTCTCGCTGGCATTTTTCCAAGGTGCTTTTCACCAGAGTTCCCAGTTTCCTAAAAAAGAGGTGGTCTGAAGGCTTAGCTGTAGTTCCAGGCCCTTTGGTTTCACCATATTCTTTGCACAATGCTTCTGCCTTGGAAAAAACTTCACAAGAAAACAGCACATAAGACAGAAGAAAGTATTTTTAACTATCCTCTTGCATATACCTTTCACTAAATCTAGCATTTAGATTTGAGTGTCTACTGAATATTAGAGACATGCATTATGGAAATATTTATGTGTTATGCAAGTCCTGTATACTATTACCTATGCACACACCTTTCAAGCACTGTTGCTAGTTTAACATCAACATGTACCTGGAAAAATATTTCCACGTTGTTTATTAGCAGAATGAGGATACTTTAAAAAAACAACAACATCCTTTTGAGCAGACACCAGACTTGAATAGCAATATCTCAACATCCTCCATTTATACAACTCGCAGTATTTTCAACAGGGCAAACAGTGGTGGTCTCCCTGCCATATGAAAACTTGGACCAGCAACCCATGGTTTTACCAAGGGCCTTTAAAGTCTGATTTTAGACTCCTGTGGTGCAATCCAATGCAAAATTAATTCAATATGAGCCTACTGAAACCAACAGGCTTAGACTGAGTAACTCTGCGTAGAACTACACTGTTGGATTTGGTGTCCATTTGTGTTTAAATCTTCAAATGTCCACATTGAATGTGTGGAAACAAACCTTTGGTCTCTTTTTTGAGGTGGGGAGCTGATAGGCAGAATACTTACATTTTTCTGCTTCTTGAAGAGATCTTATTGCTTCTCCACATTTATCACTAGCCAGGAGGGTTTGGCCATAGTAGCAGTAAGCCTGGAGGAGAAAAGTATGTACTAAATACTTCTGGAAAGTTGAAGAGAGGCGGGGTTTCGGCGAGTTGATGGCGGCTGTGTCTCCTGGGATCTCCCAGGGAGGCAGCTCGCAAACCAGCAGTTAGAGAGGGGGAGCGAATATCTGCGCCCCCTGGGGACCCTTGCGAAGGGTCTCTAGTCATGGAGCACTGAGGGTCGCCTCTTCCCGGCACGCTGTCAGGAAATTGAGGTGTCCCTTTGCTCCGACGGTTTCTCTGCTGTGTTCCAGCAAGGACTAAGCTACGCATACCCCATCAAGCAAGTGGAGGGCGAGTGGCAAATAAGCATATCTGTCAACAAGATCTACTAGATCTACATATGAAGAGTGAGTAAAGTTGAAACGAAACAACAAAGCGAAAGCCCCCTGGGGAAAAGCGAGGGGGGAGAGGGGACTCTCCTCTGCCAAGAACTGTTTATAAGTGTTATGGAGCTAGAAGAAAGGGGGGCATGTTTAAAAGTGGCAATGGACTATATGGAGAGATTTCAGGAGGCAGTTAAGCGTTGAAGCAAGTTTTTGGCACTTTGGCAAACTTTGTAAAAGTAAACATCCTTAAAAATGGCGACGGACAACGTAGTAAGAGCAACAAGTGATATCCAAGCTTTCTCCAGGAAGTGGAAGAGCTGCTGGTTAACCATCTGACCAGAAATAATCATAGACTCTTACAAACTGTGTCTTAAGCCTTTGTTCCCCATTGGTATAAACAAGGTACTATGCAAGAACTGTGCTACATGTCAGCTGTTGCTTTTAAAAGGACTGTGTTAATATTGGAGAAGTGTCTAACCAATGATTATAGGGGCTTCCAGGATCGAAGAGGATAGTCAAATGGGCATTTGGAATTCGAAGGGCCTGTATGCAGACCATAAGTGAGGCTTAAAGTGAAGGAGTATCCTCCATGGTTATATCCTGATTAAGTCTGCTGGGCAAGAAGGTGATGAGACTCTCTTCAAGTCGGGCAGTGAAAAGCAAATTGGAACGACCCCTATGATTGAAGGCAAGAATTTAAGCGGAACAGTCCTGGGAAAAGGAGAAGGGACTTTGTTTTGAGATGGCCAGTTCCTGATATAGCAGGGAAGAAGAAAGAGGAAAACAGCAATGGAAGAAAAAATGAGATTGTGTTATATCTACTGAGGGAGACTTATTGTTAATTTGCTTTTAATGGTGGAGGGAAAAATAATGGTTAAATGAGATGCCATTGTTCTCTGTAATTTGTGTCTAAGTTAAATAACGATTCTCCTGGACTACTCTTCATATAGTCAGATTTGCTGGGATGTTTTTACAAGCTATGATGGTGATTGATCACTCTTAATGTTAAAGAAAGCTTTTTACTATTGTTAAGCAATTTTTTTACAAGCTGTATGTGACCTCCAACCCTTGGGTCTTTAGTGGGTTTTCTTTTCTTTCTCCTATAGTCTGTAGATTCCCTCCCTAATTTTGTTGTAGTTTTTAGTAAATGCAAATAAAAAATCCCCTACGGGGGGCCATAAAAATACTTCTGGAAAGTTGTGAGGAAAAATTTAAATCCTGCTTGTTTCAATGGATGGAAGAAGGGCAGGGGAGAACAGAGACGGCAATATCACCCACTGTTTTGGTACTGTTATGGATAAAGGGTACGTTTTCCAAGAAAATGAATTTTACAACATATACTTTGTAACTCATCCAAAAAATAGCTTCCAGAAAAGAATAGTTTAAAATAGGATCCAGGTGAGGACTCAATAGTTCTTTGAAAGTACTTTCCAAAACTTACATAGGCCATATAGAAACAGCACTTCAAATGAAGGTATTTTCGCCACTTAATTGTGTATGCTGGATCCAGACTTGACAGTGTTTGATCTGGAATGAGAAGACAACATTATTATTACAAAAGTAGTTTGTTCATTAATCTTGTGATTAGATTTCCAATAGCCATTTTATTTGTCTTATTTTCTTAGTGGTAACAGACAGTAATTTTGTATGAGTCCCCAATTTAGCATTACTGCATGCTTTGCCTTGAAAATGCATCGCTGTGAGATGCTTAACCACAGCTATGCTAGGATACTGCCACAAAAGAGCTCAGTGCTCAATTTACACTTGGTTCTAAGAAAAATTCCTTATGTTTCATCTTTGAAATAAGCTTCCTACATTATGAGAAAGGACCAGCGTTAACACAAGCCAAGTATCCACTCATCTGTGGAATCTGTCTGTGTTTAAGATTCTGGGGAGAAACTACCAAGCTCCATTCAAAACAAAGTCATCAGCGCTGGTAACATACCTGCTTTCTGGTAAAAATTGGCTGTTTCATAGGACAGAGCTGCTATTAAACCGGGATTGTGTTTCAGCTCAATAGCTCGGGCAATTGTCACTAAACCAAAAAATAAATGTCATTTTAAACACCGACTCCAACTACACGCTGAACAGCTTAAATATAGGTGATAAATTAGCCATTCTAATTTAGCCGTACTCTGAACATAACTGATTTTATTTTTAAAAAATCTAAATACGTACACCTTACTACTGAAACTTGAACTGGTTATATTACAAATTTCTGTGCCTATCAAAAGCTTAAGATAAAAACAAAGTTAAGAAAATCTAAAATATAGCTGCAATGAATCAAAATATTCCTTGACTAGAGAGGAAGACCCTGACGCTAAAGAGAGACTTTCAATTAGAGCAATCTCATCATTCTACAGTTCTTCAAATTCCTTGAAATAGTAGATGGATTTTTCTATTCATACTGGGATGTACACAACTGAAGGAAAAACATTTGCTGCAAATCACATTCTACCCTAGAACATAATTAGCTCAAGAAACTCACAGAGAGGCTAATAAAGAATGCAAATACCTTCTTGTGCTTCAGCTTGGCACTGGATGATGTAGGAGTCCATAAGCCGAACTTCTAAATCTCGTCCCTTCTCTACTGGAGTGATCAGCTTAGGGATGTGACTCTCCTAAACAAAGACCAATGCAATTGTTATGTTCCTTTGAAAGATAAAAGTGATTTAGTAGCTGCTTTCAGTTTTGTGAGTATAACCTTTAAGCGAAATAGCAAAAGTTATGGCACCATACAGTGCTTCTGTGCCTTCAGGAACTGGTGACTGCTACCACTGGGTACATCAGACAAGGCACCTTTGAGGCTTCCAGCCCAGCCCAACAGTCATTCAATTGCTTGTTTGAAATAAACTTCCCCATCAAGATCTCCTGTGCAGGGAAATCTAGCATGTCGGAGAGAAAGAAGCTTATTGAATTTTATGTACACACAATTTATTCACTTTACTCCATATTTCTCTCAAGTGGCCTACAAGACTCTCCCCTTCTCCATTTTATCCTCACAACAGCCTTCTGAGGTAGGTTGGGCTAAGTGTGAGACTAGCCCAAGGTAACCCAGCAAGCTTCCATGGCAGAACGGGGATTTGAACCTGGATCTCCTAGATGTTAGATGGACACTCTAACCACTACACCATGTTGGCTCTCAATTTGACAATAAATGTATTCCAAACAAGCAATTTCTACCATATGGAGAACACAGTGGTGCCATCCCATGAAGGTTATGCGACTACAGAAAATCTGAAGCTGATCTCAGTATCCTCTATTCGCTTTTACCCTTTCAAAGTTTACTGATATGATATCAATCTGCTAACAGGGGAAAAACAAACTCCCCCACAACAAAACCACCCGCCCATGCTTAAAGCATACCAAGAGCATGAGAAAAGCTGTACAGAACACAGAGGAAAAAGTGAACACAAAGTCTTCACAGAGGCCAACACCATTAAGAAGCAGTATTTTAAAATGAAAAGTATCCTACCTTTAAGTGTTTAAAGATCCCAGCTGCCATTTTCAAACTACGGTGGACCTCTTTCGCTTCATCTTCTGTTACGCTAAAGGATTGGCAGCTTATTAGAACAACTGCCTGACAGAAATTAAGCACCACATAGAACTACACATATTTCATATCACCAAATTAGCTAGAATTATCATTTAAAGTTTTTTAAAAAACCTACTGCTATCTCACCCTATTTTAAGGGCACGGGACGGCACAGCCCCCCTCTCCCCGCTAAGAAATGTGTATCCCATGTCTATAAATGACTTCGCTTTCAGCAGCTTTGCTGCTGGGACATGAGCTTAACATCCACCAAGACTTTTGGCAACTTAGACTGCAATCGTATGTAAGAATAAAGAATGACAGCTTTTAAATGGGCTCTGGCACTCTCATCAGCATAGAATTGGTTGTTAGCAGTATTTAGAAAATTGCAATTTGGGGCTCCAAGGCATCATATGGGGAAACAAGTCATTGGGAAATTTCTCCCTAACCTTGATCTTCTCCTCTAATAGTATAAGCTTTAAGAGCTTGAGTGGGATAACACCCCCTCCCTCCCTCCTTTTCTGCGGTTCACCTGCTCTTGCATCCTAGAACATACTCAGTCCTTGGGCCTTCCCTGGAAGAGTTCCCCCCCCTCCTTATTTAGTTCATAAAGTTGTATTTTCCTGAAGACCCAAGTATGCTGAAATCCTTAAGCTGTTAGTAAGAGTCCTAAGATCCTGAGGAAAGGTCTGCCCTTAGCTGAGCAAAATGGTAGGACCCAGCTATAATAGTGCTTACTAAAGTGACAATACTTACTCTTCTTTCCCAGCCAGCCTGGATGCATATTTAGTGTACCACAAAGCCACATTAAATCCCATGGAAACAAGCTCAAACACAGCATCTTGCTGGGCACTAAAGGAGGAGGGAGAGAAACAAGCCAGTCATGTGGTTTTCTGCACCACAAATAACATTTTTTTTTAACTACAACGGACTGCAAATATTCAGTCTATCTTTTGGAGTTACAAAACAAAACCACTTCTGTTTGTTGTTCTCCCCTTCACAGCCCTTTCCCACATCACATGAGCAAACCCAAAAGTGCTCAAATGCACGCTGTTCACATAGATGTTTGATAGCTTGAAAACAACAATTGTCTCATCAGAAACAATTCTTGCTTTATTTTAGTCAGAACTAAGAAGGGCTGAAGCACAGCCAGCGCCCCAGTCTCCATTAACTCCTTCTCAACCTTCACAGATAATGAAGGAATAGAAGTCAATTATGTTACTACAGAATTTATAGTCTCCTAGCTAATGCCACTGAGAATATAACAGATGCAACATTTTCACAGAAAGTGAAATTTTCTCATGCAAAAGAGTGTTCAATCTCAAGAACAAATTTCACTTTGATGTACATGTTCATCCATGTTTATACTCTCATATGAGAGCTTTCCTTTATTTTTCACAAACATCTTATGTTCTGGATAAATCTATTACATGAAGATTACAAGACAGTTTACATTTCTATATCCAGATTAGGGATGTGTGTTCAGTACAAACCAAACCAAATAAATACCCGAAAAATACCTCATATGGCTCAGCCCGAAAAAGCCGATTTTTTTTTTTTGGCTTTTACTTGGGTAAGCCAGGCTCAGCTGGCCTCGGGCTGGCTGGCTTCTCCTACAGCTTGGTTTAAACCAAGCTGTTCCTCCTTTGCCCACAGCCTCAGTGAGGGATCTGATGGGCAGTTGGTTCAAACTGGATTGCTCAACAGAGCATACAAAGGAGCTGATCCTGCAGGGAGAAATCTCCCCAAGGCCGGCAGAGCCTGCAGAGAACTCACCTCCACTTTGAGTTCACTTGCATGTGGCTTGGAAAAGCCATTTAAAGGGAACGTTCCCTTTAAATGGCTTTTGCAAGCCAAGCTGTGTGCAACTGAATCCGGAAGCAGCATGAGTTCACCCACCCCCTTCTCCATTATGCCCTATAGGGACAGGCGCCACAGGGTATAATGGAGCCGAATAAATTCGGCAATCCCGATTTCCCGAATTATTTCCTGATATCCTGGGAATATCAGGAAATACTGATTCTGGAGGGGTTCAGTACACCTGGACCCAAAAAATGCTGATTTTTTTTGCACACCCCAATCCAGACACCAGCAACTTGTCTAGTCACAGTGTTTTTATTTCTTAATTCATATTCATGGATGTGTTGACCATTTCTTTCTCCGTCTTTATCCTGCATGCTAATGAAATCAAACACAACGAAAGCCTGGTGCAAATTAATCAAGTTTGCATAAGAACCTTCAAAGAACCTGCTGAATTAAGACTATGGGTGCATCTAGTCCAGCATCAATGGTCAGTCACATAAATCTAGGAAGTTCATAAGCAGAACATGAAACTAACCACCATTCCTCCGCCTATTCTTTTCTCCCAGTAACTGGCATCCAGAAGCTTCTGAACCAGAAGATTCTACTTAGATCCATCAATGGCTTTTAATCCTCATACTGCTATATAAAAATGAAAAATTTATTTACTTTACAAAGGATTTGATCCAGCTAACTTTTTTACTTGTCCAACTCCCCTCCTTACTATAGCTACCCATCACATATGACATCACAGGATGTCTGTTGTGGGGGAGGGGAAGGGAAAGGAGTTTGTAAGCCGCTCTGAGACTCCAAGTGAAGGGTGGGGTATAAACTCAATCTCTTCTTCTTCTTTTGTCTATGCAGGTTCCATGATCCCCACCTGTTGGAGGAACCCCTCCCCCCCTTTTCACCAGTGAAACGCTGGCTGGATCCAACACATAATCTTGACTCTCTCTAAAATTCAAGGCGTCATAGGCATATTTGAAAGGATCAATTAGGAAGAATGAAATAAACATGTTTTATATGAAGATGGCAGGGAAAAGTCATAGATACTTGGCATGGGTGGCCAACAGAAGCAAAGAAATCATAAAGAAGCTCTTTAGGGAATCTTGCTCAAAGCATAGTTTCAATTCATAGCATTTAGAGGCAGGTAACAAGTTTCAGAATGAGTGGCAATCAAGATAAGGCAGAGACACCCAGAACAATGGAATCTGACAACAAATTGAGTGTTTATGTAGACTCTTAATACACTGGTCCATATTTTCTCACTGTGCTGGACTGTGGCTGACTGTTCTGAGAAGTTGTAACACCTGCAATTCTATTTGCACTTGAATTCTGATAAAACTTACTCTTTGAGTCAAAATGCACAAATCAAACTGCATATTTTTTTGCTCCTGAGCAATATTTAAACTCAGTAAGATCTGCTTTTTATGAAAAGCAAATTTCAGTGGGTTAGTTTGCTGAAGCAAAACCAAAAGGCTAATTCATCCTCACACAAATGAAATGAGAACAAAGCTGCTGAACATTAAATAGCCAGCCTAACCCCCTACCAATTGCTTTGAGATCTCTCAAGTTGCTTATGTTGCGATTCTGCAGAATTGCTCCACCCTAAACCCACTGAAGTAAATGGCCTTAGACTGGAATAACTCTGCATAAGACTGCATTGTTAGTATCTCTACTGCTGTCTGGAAAATATGTTATAAGCAGTGGAGCTCATAATGCACACATACCTTGGTAGCTGTCCTTGTAAGGTATCTGTCCACTTAAAGTTCTGAATGTATCTCAGCTTGCTGTCTTGTGAAGAGTCATCCAGTGAAACTATGAACCCTGTTAACAAAAATAAAGAATTGTAATAGTTCCTTTGTGAATCAGACAGTTTCAAAATGGTCCTTAACATCTGTTCCTATCTTGCCACTATGTACAGTAATTATGAAATAATCCTTTTGTTCCTGCCTTGCTATATAAGTTTCTAAAAGCCCACGATACTCACTCAGTGGCTTGGGAGCCACATTTGGCTCTTTGACATGCCACCTGTGGCTCTTTTGAGCATGGGTTCCCAATGCGGCACCTGCCCCATGTTTCAGAAAAGTGGGCTTGTAGTTGGCAAGTGGTTTTTACCTTGAAACAACTGCCACCAAAAGAACAAGTAAGCTGCAAGCCTCCCTAAGGTGCAGACCTCATGCCAGGGGTGGAAGTAAATGTGGCTCTTCTGGCCGATAGTAATGCAAATATGGCCCTCCATGAGCCATGGAGGGAGTACCACTGCACTAAGCCTTGATATACAATCTTGCACAAGAAAAAAAATTACTGCTAGTATTTATGTTTACCTGATATTAAAAATGACAACATCTTCCCTGTAACCAAAATAGCCTCAGAGCTCCACTAGTCCCTTCAAAATATGTTTTTTAAAAAATAAGTAAAAAACAGATGGAGTCATAAATGAAGTAATAAAAGTATATATAATTAACTTAAATGCATTCAGTGGAACTTGAGGCAATGGGAAGCCAAAGAAAAACATAACTCTTGAAAAAACAGCAGTTCTTTGATAATGATGTACAGAATTCCATTGAAAAGGGCAGCAGCACAAGCTCAGCTCTTGAGCAAATACTCAGATGTTACAGCTGCCAGGTGCACAAATAAAGGACAAATGGAAAATGCCAGCAGAGCAGGCTTATCAAGGTGCTGACATGGAGAGCTGGGGAGGGGAGGCACATAAAATATTGAATTTATGTTATGGTTACAAGATTTTTGACCATTACAAGGCTGCACTTAACTATTTTTGGTGAACAGAATATACAACCCAGAGCACTTCACGGGACAAGGCTATCCAACCACACATCGCTAAGACATGTCACTATTAAAATATACACATACAACATCATTCTCTACATAGAAGTTTGATTGTGGGGAACTATGGGTGAGTCTTGGGCAGTGTTCCCTCTAAGCTGAGTTAGTGTGAGCTTGCTCACAGTTTTTTAGCCTCTGGCTCAAACATTTTTGTCTTAGCTCAGGAAGGAAGGCTCCAGAGCAAACTAATTTACACAGCAGCCAAATCACTCACTCACAACTTTAATGCCAGGAGTTCACAAAGTAGAATTTTTGCTCACAAGACTCCACAGGCTTAGAGGGAACATTGGTCTTAGGAATCCAGAGAATCTGGTTCTGCACCCATCTCTGTAATTCCTTTTCTGAGTCAAAACAGACTAATCACTTGATCTGTCAGTTACCCAGTGAACTAAATCTTACTTTTGTTTAATCAATTTGTCTTACAATATTCAAAATCTCTTGCCATCTTCATAATTAGGATAGAAAACTATCAAGAATTCAATAGGGAAAGGGTATACAGACTTTTACAGTTTCTATGTCAAGCACAATGCTCTATGATTCACGATCCTTCATGCCTCCTCCAATATCTACTTTTTATTTAATTTAATTTACTGTGAGTTCTTTATGAGCAGAGCAAGAAATCACCTGTGCTTTAAAGCCTCAGTGTCAGAGATTAAGAGATTTCTGTAAGAACCTACTGACCAAAGACACCAATTGGCCGGCTCACTTACCTTTCAAGAGTGAAAAATAAGTATCAGTTGCATTTTTCATCATTTCTGGAGTACAACTCAAATCTGTAAAAAGCTCCAGGAGCCGTGTTCTTGATAACCTTAAATCACTGTATAAAAACAAAAATAGTCACTGTAACGATTCCATGTTTTACTGTGTGTGTGTGGGTTTAAATGTTTGGTTGGCATGGCTGTGTGAGGATAATCTAGAGTGCTGGACTCAAGCAAGTGATATGATTGGTGAGTGACAGAGAGGGGGAGGGGGTTTGGAATGGTTGCTGTGTGGATGATTGGAATGTCTATCTGTTGTGTCTGTTAGGTATGACAGTTGAGTAAAACAGTTAGAAGAGTGTGCTGTGTAAAAGCAGTTGCTATGAGTTAAGTGCTGTCTCTGAGTTGTGTGTGTTATGAAAAGTTAAAGCATAAAGAAACAGTGACCATATATGGCCTAAGGAAAATATTGTTACAAAGTGACATGCCCTGATCCCTGTCAATAAGAGGGAAGAGTGCGTGAACATCAAATAAATCTACTTTTATTTAAGACACAAGTTCTGAACGAAATTCTTCCCAGGAAACAAATTCTTCCCTGGGTCACAATACCAAAACCAGTAGGAAAAATATTATAGAAAAAGGTTGGGAAAGCCTAAATTTCCCTGGTGGCAGCCAGATTACTCTGAGAGCAAAACATAAAGAACACTTTTAAAGGGATACCAGACCTCCCCAAATAAGAGGTCGTCACAGTCACATTCATTTTTCAGAGAGAAATTTCAGAGTTTCAACAGTGCTGCTGTCTTTTATACAGGTAAAAAAAGAAAAAGCATGTTTTGTGTCAAGATTCACTGTGGGTTTTGAAATCTGGAAATCCAGAACCACTTACTTGCATATCTTTGTTGCAGCAGGAGTGGTGGCTACCCCATAGTAATTGAATGAGACAGGAGCTGTAGCTTTCAAAGGATTTCGATGAAACCAGTGAGTCATTTTTCTTGAGTACTTCCTTCAGGATTAGAGCTTTAGCAAGCCTAAACTGAGGAAAAGAAGAATTAATGTATTCATTAGTGCAAACATAAAATGCTTGTGGAAGCACACCTTCCCTGCCTTCCCCCAACACGCTTTCCTCGCAATCCTCTGCTGATGGTTGTGGAACCCTAATAAACATACACACCAGCAAAGAAAGCTGCAGTGAAGAAAACTGGGGGAGGGGGGCTCTTCTCTCTACCCTTCTTCTGCTGGTGGATTAAACATAGCAGAGTGAGCTTTCTCCTTGAGCAAAAGGGAAGTGGGAGCAATTATGACAAATCTGCCTCACTCCCCTCCCCCCATACTTTTTGTTTGAAGGTAATTGATCTTCAGCAGAAGGTGGCCAGCATATGTAGGAGACTACTGATGGAAGATTCGCGCTCACAGGCTTTTTCTTCTGGTACTACATATTTCATGTACGCAAACACACACAATTCCAAAAAACGTTGATAACTGTAAATAAACCATCTTGCATTTTTAACCACCTACCTTCTTAAAAGAGCCTAAAAATACCAATGACTCTGTTCATTTATTTTTTTAAAAGCTATGAAAATTTATCATTTATAAAATAGAAACCAGTGTTTGTCTCAGCTAACTCCACTGAAAGCCTGATATGCTATATGATATTTGCAAGGCTATAAGGATTTTTTTTTTTAAGTTGTCTCCTAAACTGTGTTTATTATGACGCATGATTTAGAATGAGCAAAATGATCCCATATTCATGGGACCATATATGGTCAGAGGTCAGAAGTGCATGCCTCTCATTCATGGCACCGTCAACTAGGTTTGCTATTCAGGATTTCTATCAAAAGACCCATTATTAACTGTTCTCTGAGTCTCTGAGGTCACTGTAGCTTGAATTACGAATTCATTGTGGCTGTTGTGAACATAATTAAGTTTTAACACTGGAGACAACATTTTGATACACACAGTTTAATTTGGTCACTTGGAGAATACACACACACACACACACACACACACTTGTTCTATTGATGCTAAAACATGTCTTTTCAGAGCTAGGTTAACAGTCCTTTCAGTAGCTTAGTCTACTTCTTTTTTAAAAAGCACCATGGTTATCTACTGATCTTTCTTTTTGAGAAAGCCTAATGATCCCTTTTGCCCACTATTTCCTGGAAGAATGGAGATATACCACACTGTAATGAAATAAAAATTTAAATCAAGTTGGTTATTCAAAGTACACCTGTTATTGTATTCACATATTCAGGTGGGTAGCCGTGTTGGTCTGAAGCAACAGAACAAAGTGTGAGTCCAGTGGCACCTTTAAGACCAACAAAGTTTAATTCTGGGTATAAGCTTTTGTTCGTCTTAAAAGTGCCTAAAATTTTGTTCTATTGTAATCACAGTCTACTATATAAATGATACAACCTAAGAAGAACCTTCCTGGATCAGACCAATACTCAAAGATTAATCCTGTCCAACATACTATTTCACGTAGTGGCTAGCCATTTGCCATGGAGAGACCTTCTCCTGATGCTACCACCCAGCTTTGATATTCAGAGATTTGCTGCCTCTGCATATGGAGGTTCCCTTAACTTATTTATTTTATTATAGCCACTGATAGACTTATCCTTCATGAATCTGTCTAACACCTCTCAAAACCATGACTATGTCCACTGGCAGTAAATTTCATATTTAATTAGTCTTTGAGTAAATAAGTATTTCCTTTTGTCTGTCCTGAATCTACTGCCCGCCAACTTAATTGGATGCCCTCAAGTTTTAGTATTTTTAGAAAGCACGGAAAAATTCTCTCTGTCCACTCTCTCTACCCCCTACATAATTTCATGAACATCTATCAGGTAACCCCTCAGCCTTCTCTTTTCTAAACTGGAAAGTCCCAGGCTCTTCAGCTTTTCCTCACAGGGAAGGTCCTCCAACCCCCTAATCATCTTGGCTACCCTCTTCTGTACTTTTTCCAGTTTTGCTAGTGATGACATTGTCCCATTCTATAAAGAAATTGCACACTTCCCTGGAACATGAAATAGGCATCATATTGGGGAGTTGTGCCCAGAAGAGACACAGGTGGCATCTCAAAAGGCCATGTGTAGCTTCTAAACCACTGAGTATCACTGCTGTATGCAAACCAAAGGCTGTGATTCTACCTACTTTGTTGAACACACAGAGAATTACATATACTGCTGGAAATGGCACTGACTGTTCCATTGTCACCAATCACAGGCAAGTTGATTAAAAAAAAATCTCTGACAACAATAAAAAGGGGGCAGATGAGCAACCACCTCCCCTTCATTTATCAAACACCCCCTCATCTTTGACAGGAATTTCCAGAGCTCTTAGAAAGATGTTTCTTGTGTGAGAAAGCAGGGATTATGGAAAAGCAGGTCACAGTTTTTCCAAATACAAGTGGACAGTAACAACTTGTTTGCAATGATAAAAATAATACCCCCATAACCCTCTCAAAATTATACTCTGGACTACTGCGCAAAACATTCTAACTCTGTGTTTCCCAGAAAATCCCGATTTTAGGCATCACCAGAATGCGATCCATACCTAAACCACAAACCCAAACAGCGGCTGACGCGCCCGTACACAAGCTACTACAATAAAGTGACCGAGCCGAAATCCCAAGCCTCCAGCCCCGCATTCTTGTCCCCTTTCCCGGGAAGAAGCAGCGTTATTCAAGCCTTCTCTCAAACAAACAGCATCTCCTTGCCGCTGTTGAAGAAGTGCTTCCCGCCTAGGTGGAGGAAAGGACTCAAAATAGCTCAAACAGCTCCGCTTCCGCCCCGCTCTATGGTACGGCTCCTTGGGCCGAGCGTGATCACCTAAGTAATGGCCATTACACGCCGCCTAGTAAGAGTGCACATGCGTTCCTCTCAATTGGATTGGAACCTCCTGACTCAACCTCCTCATACTGAACAAGGGGCCCTAGGCGCGCAGCCTAATCTTGTGCACATTTACATGGGAAGTCAATCCTACTGCTTTCAATAGAGCTAATCCCAACAGGAAATTAAGCAAACTCCGGAAGACGTGCTGTGGTCCATGGGGTCGCGAGGAGTCGGACTCGACTGTGCGACTGAACAACAACTCCCATCTAACTGTGCTTAAGACTGTAGCCTTAACTTCCCATTGTTGTCCTCCACCACGTGACGCCTTCTCCAGAATGGGCGGACATAATCAGGAATAAACCTAACACTCTAATCAGTGAGTGAAAAGTCCACTGAATATGATAGAATTTACTTTCGTGAAAAAACGAACAAATCAGCTAGGTCCGATTGTCTTAATTTAAGGTTTTGTGCATACAATCATTTTTACGTTTAATCGTTTTGGGCTGCAATTGTAAATCCGTTTAGAGAAAAAATATCTTGAAATCTATGGGATTTACTTCTGCGTAAATATGATTCGGATTAGGAATCCGGAGCGCTTGCCTGATGGGATTTCTCTCTCCCTCTTCTGAATCCTCTTCTTCTATCATAATTTTTATCTTTGAATTACTGGTGGATGCAATCGGGCTATCAATATTGATTCACTGAGGCCACCTTCCCAGGGATGTTTATTAGGCTTTCTGCTATAAATATTCCATTTACATCTTTGTGATTACGAATCCGAAAGCACCCCCTCCCCCGCTGTCAAATGAAATATCTGCCTACAGGCGCTTCACCAACCATGGTGATTTTGTCCGAAACTGGAAGCATTCTCACTTAAACGTTTTCTAAAAAGTAGATTATAAGACCAACAACAGTCTGGGCTAAGTATACAAAGGAACCTCTCTGTGAGAAGAAAGTAGGAAGATATACAAAGCGCTGAATGTCAACGGTCTATCCTGGTCTATCGAAAACAGTTCCGTTTACTCCAGCGACTGCACATGATTTTCTTTTTCCTGGGCTGGTAGCCTATAGGATTATAGTAACAAACAGCAGCCAGGAAATGGATCGCAGCCTGTCCTATTGTCCGCACAAGAAAATGGCTTTCGGGGTGTGCGTGGGGAAACAGTCGGGAAACGGACCGGATATCTGAGAATCAAGGCGGTGATACACACCTAAGGGACGAAAAACAAGAAGACCGAAGCGGAATGGACTTTCCCTGGAAGGCAGCTCTCCCTTCCCATGCACCCATCCTACGAAGTAGACGCTTCTAAACGCCTTGATTTTAAAGGGATCAAGGACGTTGTTGCCTACACCGGACAGGGACTGCCCGCTGAACTCCATGGCAGTCCTGACGAGTAAATGTCCACACAGAAAGATTGGGCTGTACTTATGGAAACAAAAGGATCAAGGAGGAGGACAGACGGTTCAGGAAGAAGGAGCACCACACTTTCCTTCTCACATTACAAAGGAGGAAATATCCGGCTTTCACTTACCTGAGAGACGGAGTACTCTCCCTCCCCCTCAAGATCCAAAAGTAAAGGAACGGGAGAATTATACTTCCCCTTCAGCGAAGGCAGATACTCCCCGGGGCAACAGTAAACCACGTATGAACCCCAGAGCCGTCCTAGATACCACTAGTCACGTGTCCTCCATCGCCCAAACAAGGGACAGGCAAGGAGGCGGAAGTGTTTCGACCAATCATAGGAACAGAAACGGCTTTTGCCTCGGTAGTTGTGGCGCTTGGCGTCGAATACCCCGGTCTCTCACAGCCGCATCTGGCACGTCTGAACGCACTAAAATAAGTTTTTTTACACCTAATACCCCGTAGAATACCGGCTGCACGGAAATGACGGCGAGACCCCCAACAGAACAACAGCAACATAAACATATCTCACTTCCTGTTTTTATTTGAATACAGGCGGGGCAAGAGCGTGATGTAAAACGGGGAGCCGCTCTTCTTCGATCTCTATGGTGCCTGTCCTATCCTTTCGTCCCGCTCTGTCTCTTCTCTCGGGAGCCGGAAGCGTTGCTATAGTTTCATTGGGCTTGTGAAGAAAAGGAAGGCGGGGGGCGGGTCTGGTACAACCTAACCTGATCCTAAGGCGGCAGGGCGGGGTGTTTAGAGGCGGCCGTCAAGCTCGGTTGCGAGAGCAGATGGGCTTGGTCGGTGACTAGTGGTGCCGTTGCTGCGAGGCTGGACAGAGCGGGGGGTTGCCCGGCGCGAGCCCTCGTCCCTCTCCTCTCCCTCCGCCCCCGCGGTGGTGTGAGCATGGAGCCCTAGCAGCGCTGGGACCATGTCGGAAGCGGCCCGGAGCCACCTGCAGCGCTGGGGCGCCAGTTTCAGGAAGGGGACCGACTTCGACTCTTGGGGGCAGCTGGTGGAGGCGATAGATGAGTATCAGATGTGAGTGCGGGGCGGCGGCGGCTGGAGCGCCGAAGGGCTGGGCTGGGGCTGGCTGAGGGGAAAGCCGTTGGGTGGAGCGAGAAGTTGAGGAGCGGCCCGGATGATCCTGATTTTGAGCGTCTCCCTCCTCCCCGCTTCGCTTTTCTGTTGCGAATATGAAAGCACCGACTTAATGGCTTTACAACGCCGTGTATCTGATGAAGTGAGATCTGGCTCACGAAAGCTTAACCTGGAATAAATGTTGTTGAGTCTTTACGGTGCCCCTGGACTCTTGTTTTATTTTGGGTGGGATTGGTTTGGGGAGGGGTGGGAGGAGGATCGGAAGGCGCCTTGTGCTGCCCGTCTCTGCAGCCCTAGAGGCTGGGTGGGGGGAAGGAG